ATAACTAACATACCAGCCCTTTAAACTCCTCTCCCCCTACTGACAGGAACAAATCAATAGCTAGTCCATAACCACAGAACGTTAGCTCCTAACGAAGAGCTGGACATTGCATTGGTAGTTACAATACGGACAGCCAGTCCATTTTATTTAGAAGATTAGTCAGTTTTAGGCAGGTCTTTTTCATATATGACATCAAACAGCTGATTCATTGGCTTGAAAAAATTTTTCAGTCAATTCCTTTGAAGTTAGGTAGACTCTTCCTATGTGTGGAAATAGCTACCAGAAATGCTGTGTCATTGAGGCATTGTGTTTTTGGTACTGGGTACCACATACAAAACTTTCAGACACAGTAGGAAATCTGATATGCTCTTTCAAAAAGGGACCTTTTTTTTTTTTTTTTTTTTTTTGCGGTACGCGGCCCTCTCACTGTTGTGGCCTCTCCCGTTGCGGAGCACAGGCTCTGGACGCGCAGGCTCAGCAGCCATGGCTCACGGGCCCAGCCGCTCCGCGGCATGTGGGATCCTCCCGGACCGGGGCATGAACCCACGTCCCCTGCATCGGCAGGCGGACTCTCAACCACTGCACCACCAGGGAAACCCCAAAAAGGGACCTTTTTGAATCAAGCCTTTTATCTGCGTTTTGATGCGATTTAGTTATTTTTTCTGTACTATTGTCGATCCACTTACAAATGCTTTGTGAGATAACGAATACTTTTCTTTATTATAATTGTACTCAAAGTCAAGACTCAGGGCCAGAAACATGTGACATGAAGCTTGCTTTAAGACAGCCATCTTGCTGCCGTGGGGAAAGACTTGAGTCAGATGAGATAGGTTCTGGCTCTGGATACGGCTGTGTTATCCTCAGAGAGAATTGCTCAGCCTCTCCTGATTGAAAGCCTTGTTTAAGTGTAGTTAAGAGCACAAGCGCGGAATCAAACAAACCTGGGTTTTTATCACTTAAAAGCTGAGTGACCTTGGGCAAGTTACTCAACCTCTCTGAGCCTCAGTTTTACACCCATACCATGGGTGTGATGATTATACCTATCTCAAGAGGGAGTTGGGAAGATTAAAGCAGATACAGTAAGTGTTCAGTCAATATTCATTATTCTTATTATGGACCTTGATTCTCTACATAGTGATGATTTTGCATAAGACTACCTCCAAGATTCTTTTCAATTTTAAAATTCTATGCTCTTCAGGCTTGCCCAATCCAGGCTTCTTCCTCCAGAGTTTAACACATACAGCCGGTCCCAGGGGCCCTGTGGAGGATGGCCCTTATCTGTGTCTTGTTGCTGTGGTGACCAGGTCCTCATGAACCTGCCTTTGGGCATTCAGAATAGGTTGGCCCAAGAGATGGGCAGGGAGGCGGCAGACTGGATTGGAGAGTCTTCAGTGAGACACTGAAGGTGCCGAGTTGTAGGACTGGGCCCTAGACCACAAATCAGTCAGGAGAGACTCAGCCCCAAATCCTGGATAGTCAGGCAAGGAGGACACAGGGTCAGGGAGGCACAAGAAGTGGGGATTAACGTCAGGCACTCAGTCAGGGGTTCTGAGCTAGAGAGAAGCACGTGTAGATGAGGATTGTGCAAGGAGGGGGTCGGGTACCTGCCACTCAAAGTGTGCGACCCAAGGACCAGCAGCAGTGGCATGACCCCAGACCTGGTTGGAAACTGAGACTCTCAGGCCCTGCCCAGATCTACGGAACCTGTGCATCTTAACAGTACTACAAGCTGGAGGGTGGATGGATGAAGGGCAGCCTGGCTTTCCTCACTTCCTTTGAGGTAGAGGCACTTATATCGAGACTTTTTTTTTAAGGCAAGTGGGAAACATTTTCTAAAGAACGGGAAGCACTCAGCTGAGAAACTTAAATAGGAAAACCTGATCTGAGTTTTATTTTCCCAAAACACGAAATGTAAAAGTTGTCTTCTGAACGTGTTTTTCCTATGCGGTGCCGTAAACCACCACCCACTAGTGGCTATTGGAGAAACAACCACTAGCAAGTTGTCTGCGCTCTGAAGCGCTCCTGTCACCTGTCAAAGCAGTGGAGGTGCCCTGCAGGAAAACCCAGAGGGGAATCTGTACAGTGATCCCATGACTGAGTCTCTGCTTTCTTACTAGTATATCAAAAGTCAGATTCTCCTCATGGGAAAACCATGAGAGGTTGGCAGCCTTTGATGCCAGGGAACCCTGACGGGGCCCCTCGGGGGCTGGTCCCAGGCCAACCGGTGAGCCGTGCGGGTTCACCTGCTCGTCGTGCCATCTCTCATCTCTTTTGCTCATGACACTCTCACTTGTTTTATGGCTCAGGTTAGGTAGTTTGCCCAACACAGCAACGCCTGTGGCTCCCAGAACGAGAATCTGAATGGGGTCCTCTGTTTCCGAATGAATGGCCTTGGGGCTTGCCTCCCTGCTGTGTTGCATCTTACATCATGGGCCCATCGGGGGTTACGTGAGGTGGCTGTCCTCAGAAAGAGACCAGCTCTTATCCTGATGGTTTTTCCAGTGTTAATAGAGTGGACATTTGTTGCAGCCCAGCTCAGCCTGATCCTGTAACCCACATGCAGAGACATGAAAAACCAAACCACAAAGCCCCAGAAAAGTCCTCCTCTGCTTCAGCTCAGAGACAGGGCGTTCCTCTGAGGTAGTGATGCCTCTGTTAAAACAGAACATCACTCAAACAGGAAATATTTTCTGGGTTATGGGAAAGCACTCAGACAAAACATTGAAAACCGTCAAGATCTAAAAAGACCCTCCCATCCAAAGAGCCCAGGGAGAGTTCATTTTCTTTCCGGGGGCGTCAGTAATAGGAAGCGCATCCTCCGGAAGGGTCTGGGCTGTATTCATTTGTGCTGCATCAGTCTGGGGCATAGAGTCTCAGGATAAAGGGCATTTTTAAGAGTTTGTTCTTCGTCGGTAGCATCAACCAGGAGCTCTTCAGAAATGCACAGTCTCAGGCCCCAGCCCAGGCCTCCTGAATCAGAATCTGCCTTTTAGCAAGCTCTTCAGGCCACTTGTATACACCTTCAAGTCCGAGAAATTCTGTTGGAAGGTACTCTTCACCGGGAGCACCTAAGGCTGTTTGACCTGCGCGAGGCTTTGAGATCATTCTCCCGGCCTCTGAGAAGCGGTATCCTTTGTGCTCTACTACCTGGATGGGGACTCTTCCTACTAAGAGGGTGAGCCTTCAGTGCAGGAGTGAAGAAAATAACCTGACAACTGTGTTCACTGTGTCGCATCTGATGCCAATTTTCGAAGACCCCAAACATAACCAGATGCCCTTACAGATGAAAATTACATTGACATTTGAATCTCTGATGGGCATAGGGGACTGACCTTGTAGGAGATCAAAGTCACTTTAGGACCATCAGCTTTCTTCGTGGAGAGGACGTGAGACACGCCAACTAGTGGACCGTCCCTGCTGCTCGAGCTGGGGGCTGGGGGCTGCTGGGTGCAGTGCTGGGAGGGCGTGGAGATGAGGGTGAGGGTCATACCTGGACAGTAAGCTACAGCAAAGAAGGAGAGCATCCTTTAACCTGAAAGGGCTAGTTTCTCTGGTTAGGGGAGTCTGGATTCAGGGCACTAGGAGTTTAATATAACGAGGGCCAAGCCTCCGAGTGGGAATGTCTTTACAATTTAATTCTCCCTGCGGGCTGGGGCTGGGAGCGGGACAGCCAAGGAGGGGGACTTTCCACCTTCCAAACCCTCTTAGTCGGGTCGGAATTCGGCCGAGAACCCTTGCTGTGGCCCCTTCTGCTGTTTTCCTCCCATTCCTCTGGACTTAAGAGGTTTGGAAACGCCTAGACTTTCCCAGCCTGCCCTGGCCCAGAACCCTGAGTGCAGCTCCCTTCTGCCCCGTGACCTGTGTTTGTACAGAAAGAACGTAAAACTGTAGATCCTGTGTTCAAATGACTCAGGATCGGCCCCTGCCTCTGCCTGTCAGCTGGGAAAGGACCCACCCTTTCTGTGCCTGGATTTTCCCAACTGTGAATGGAGCTGATCAGCCTGTGACTTTGAGAGGTGGCCCCAGAGAATCGTTCTGAGGATGAATGAATGAATATATGTGTTAACAAGTGTTAACGTGTTGCTGGGTGGCACGTGCTCAGGACGCATGGTAACGCATAGTTACCGTTTTAGGACATCAGATTTGGAACCTACACCCAGGCGCTTTTTCCCCCTTAGGGGAAAAGGAAAAGTAGACTCCCACTAGCCACTAAGAAATTGGGGTCGCCGCCCTCTCTGCCTGGGTTTCAGGGCTCTAAGTGGCCCAAGAAGAGGTCGAGGCACTCTGGGTGAGGAGAGGCTGCAGCTGGGGGGCAACGCAGATGCTCTGAGCGTGTACCAGCACAGCGTGACCATCCCACGCCAGAAGTGTGGGACGGCACCATTGCCCTATTCACAAGCAACCAGAAAGTTCTCTGGGGAACAGGCCACGGTTTGTTTAAGTGGCTCCTGCTTGGCGGGGAAAGCTGTTTGTTGTAGCCACGGGCTTAGTCCTCTGCAGCCTGGCAAAGCGGAGTTCAGCCCGAGGGCGAGCTGTGTTGAAGTTGGCAGCAGGACATAATGTGAGATAACCCCAGGGCTTCCCTTGGAATTTGCTGCCGTCCTGCTCTCCAAACCTCAGCGGATGGATACACTGGCTCCCTTCAGGGCAGGAGGTCGGGGATTTCTGATGACACTTCCCGAGTCTACACAGACGGGGGTGTCTGCTATTTTCTGGCTCGCGCTAAGCCGCTTCTCTTGGCACCATCAGCAGACAGGAGACACATTACCCCTTGGCAGGCTGTTTCTGTCTGTGCTGGGCTTGTTTCTTCAGTGAGACTACTGTTAGTGTTTCTATTGCAAACCCAGAAAAACAAGGAAACCCAGAATCGTCTGTCTCAGCCGGCCCACGGAACTTCGCGTAATCATAGACAATAGTTACGAGAATCAGGCGGAATGCCGTCACTCAGAACCCAAGCCCAAACCGAAACAAAATCCCACGTTTATTTTCAGAATGGAATCTGACAAGGTAATACAGTGGTAAAGTCCTTTTACAATAGGAACAAAGGTCAGCAGATACTACTTTTTGATGCTTAGAAGAGAACATTAAGGAAGGTCTAGCTTATACTTGAGGCCCTCACAAAAATAGCAGATAAGAAAGTGAAGTCCTGATGGGACATCCGAGCTGAATAATTCTGCTCCAGCAGACAATTCCTCAGTCAGCTCAACACAATGATTTCAGTGAAGGTTTGAAATAGGTGTGGAAGCTTGAGATGCCGAAAGTTCCTGGAGGGACCGAGGTAAGGAAAGAAAGAGGGGAAAGTCTTGCATAAGAATGAGGGAGGGAAAGACAATATAAAAATACATAGAAAAATTGTATTAGACTATCATATCTTACCCCGGGTGTGTGTGTGTGTGTGTGTGTATGTGTGTGTTTCTGCTTTTGTCATAACCAAGTTGGGAAAACCTTAAATGTCCTTCAATAATAAAATATGGGGGGAGGTCAATTCACAGGGAGTCTGAACTGATCCCGGTTAGGATCGCCGAAGGTCAAATAGAGAGTCACTGAAATCCAATGCATCGACAAACTGCACTTTCTCATCCTGCAAAAAAAAAAAAGAATTAGAACCCAGATTTGAGGTTGTCTTCAACCTAGACAGTCAAGGCAGGATTCCAGGAAAACTGTTAAAGAAGAGGGTGACAAAGAGGAATCAGGTACAGTTCACGAAGGATGGGTCAAGTCCAACCACTTTAACTTCCACTTTAGTCAAGCTTATTAGACAGACAGTCAGGGGAGGACGGAAGGGGTGAACACAGGGAACCTGACCTTCCCCAAGGCACGTGACAATGCGTACGTTTCCTGCTGTTCTCAGACTTATGGACTGAAAGCTGTAAGGATCCAAAGAATGCCCGTTCACGTCCTCTTGCACAGTGATTTCTTTACAGGGATATTCTCAGTTCTCAGCCCGATTCTGTTTAGCTCTGTTCCCAGTGATCTGAGTGAACATGTAGAAGGCATCTCATCACATTCGTAGGTGACGTGAAGCTTGGAAGGATGAGAAGGGTGCAGAAAGACAGACACAGAGTACACGTCGTTGTTGGTTGTTTGTCCCCCTTTTGAAAAAATCCAAGTTTCTTTAATATTTCTAATCAAGGAGCAAGAGGCTTTCATGAAGAGTTACTTTCATATCTTATAATTTCATGGCTAAATCTGCCTTAGAGCTGAGATTGCTCTGTTCTTCACTCATCTATATGTGGTCATTGATACCGAGGGGATGCTATGGTCTATATGAAATTTCACTATGACTATGAATATGAAAGCTCTTGCAAAACCTATATTTTAACTCTAGCCAAAGAAGCAAGATGAACTGGGTTAAGCTCTAGATAGACAATATACTTTCAAGTTGTGTAAAACACATGAGTTCCAATTCCCTATTATTTTCGACCGAATGATTTAAAACTCTTTTAGATTAGTTGCTTGCATAACTGCCTACTAAAGAAAGAAAAATGTCTTCCATGTCCTAAGGAAACATTTTATGAGAAAGAACCTGTTGTGATCTTTAAGGTGACTCCATTACTGCCTGAAATAATGGCTTAATGTTGATCAGGACACACTTAAAAGTATTGTTTTACTTGTGTTCTCCAAATGCCATCACTTCATCACTTTTGATTACCAAAGGTGTATTTTGCAGTCAAAGCACTCAGGCGAGCACAGCAGAGACCACGATGCTTAGAGTCAGAGATTCCAAAGACCCGAGACCCACCTCCACCTCCATCACCCCACGGCTGGATGTGGCTGCAACCTGGAGTTTCAGCTCCACTGCAAGTACCTACCCTCCCACCCCCATTCTTGGGTCTTCTTTGTCACATACTTGTACTTCACATTTTCATTCTACCACTGATACATTTCCATAAGCCATATTTATTTGTTTCAAGGATTGGCTAAAAATAAAATAAATGACTGATAATCTCTTTTGGGAAAAAAAGACGTCTCTGCCCAAACCTGAAATCTCTGCATGCATAGGGGTGCAACTGAATATTTATACAAGTTCTGAAAATTATATAAGGCTGTTTCCTATGAAATGGTGCAGAAACCACTGTGTGAGATGGTACATGGTACCCCTGGGAAGAAAAGCACGAGCTAGGCAGCCCAACCCACCTAGCAGAACGCTAGGTGTAACCCAGCCCGTTCTCTGCTCATGGACGTGACCCTGCATACAGAAAGCAGACACTCCACGCTGCCCCTGTGGATGTCTCACAGGGACAGGTCCCTGCACACGTGAGGTTGATGGTGGACCAGCCTTGCCTATGACTGGTTAGATAAACCTCTCAGGTTTTGGGGTTCAGTACTAGGAACCCAGCTTGTATACAGGTAAGAGCCACATTCTCCAATATGATATTTATCAGTAATAAAGATAATATTTTGGTCTTTCTGCTTCATTCTTGACGCCAGAAGTCAACCATTTATTCAGGCCACATCATACCCATCAGAAACAGCTTTAAGGAATCCTCAACCAGACTGATTATAAAATAGGATGGAATCAAAATGCAATTCCCATTGAACCCCCAGTCTCCGTATAAAATTCTAATTTAAAAGTTCGTCTCGCAATTTGGTGTCAGGAAAATCTGTCTCATCCTAAGGAGCTGGTATCCTTTTTCCCTTCCAATAAAGAGAGTTATGAAACTCTGGCGTCTGGGATGCCAGCAAGTCCACAATCTAACCTGAAGCTCAATCACAACAACCCGATGGACCACCTCACTGAGAGGAGTGGAATCTGCTCTTACCTTGACGTTGTTTTCCAGCTTCTCTGCAGTCATGTAGCTTTATCTTTTTTGTTGTCAGACACAGCCACCCCAAGTCCTATTTGGAAAAGGATAGGTAAGCCCACATTTTAAAAACATGAGCTAATGTGAGTTGGCAACCAAAGAAAACAAGGGAGGTTTACGGAGCGCTACCTAAGAGCTGTGCTAATGACTTTATACCCGTTACCTCATTCAATCCTCATGATAACACAGTGAGTTTAGTGCCATGATTACTACTCCCGATGAAGGGAAGAAAAGCCTGAGGTGTGGATGGGTCTGTTTGTCCAAGCTGCCATTGCTCCATGGGACAGAATGAGGGCTGGAACGCATTCGACTCCAGAGTCTGAGCTCAGAACTGCTATTTCACACCATCGTGAGCTTGAAAGAAGACCCAGCTTTAATAAAACGTAGTTTATTTTATGTAGTTATTTTTCCAAGAATTATAAAAAGAAGATTATTGAGGAGTTTTGAACAAAAGAGATTCAGCTTGCTATTGGATAAAAACTTAGATTTTTAAAATAATGATACTTATTTTAATAATGTCTAATTGTATCAAAAGCCACCATTATCTGATTCATTGTCTTGTGCTCACATCCCCTTTATGACTTAAGGCAGATTAAGTTTGGGGCAGACACTTGGAAGATGAAAGCACAAAGTGTTATGTTATTTAACTAGACTTTGTAATTTTTTAATTGTCAAAATAGCGTCTGAGAAAATGACACTCCCAAATTGGCAGAAGCTAAAATTCCATTTGCTACGAATGGAGCAAAAGGTTAGAAAACAGACCCATCTCACGGGCTCCATCAAAGCAGAACTTGTGAGCTCTGGAGGTGTGAAGGGTCAGCCCAAGCGCTACATATTCTGCTACCCGGGACTGGGCATTACATTTGACATGCTAGGTCAAATGCTTAGGTGTGGGAGACAGAGCAGCAGACGAGACAGAGACCCTGCCCCTGTATTCAAGTCGGGGGATGGGACGGTGGAGAGGAAGGTAACGGAGAAAACGCAGAGCATAGGAGCTTCTAGCACATCAAATTCTGTTTATCCCCGGGCATCTGTGAACATACCCGTCAAAGACCATTTGTAAATGTGTTGACCGTGCTTGTGGAGGCCAGGTGCCCACAGGTCCTGCTGCCCAAGCACCACTTCACGCTCATCCCTGTGAGCACACGCGCAGGCTACAAGCTCCGGAAACGCAGGACCGCAACGTTAAAAGCCATCGGTTCCCAGTAAAGCCACACGTCCTCAAAATCGGTGGAATGTAATGTTCAACCCAAACCATAAAGCTTGTGTTTATTAGCATTGTGTGCCTCTCTTTATAATGAAAGAAATTGTATTTTTGTCAGGCATTCCTCTTAGGTCTAACGATGAAGAGGATGTTCTGTGATTAACGTCACCGGGGGAAGAGGGCAGAAGAGACTAGTACAGAAGGAAGTGGCAGATTTAGCATTTGTTAGTACTTGATAAATGAATGCAAACTAGACCTGGTAATTCACTGTTCTTCCCAGCTCCTCTTTGTCTGGCTAGACAGGGCGTGGACGGGCAGAGGGACATGCAGTCAGATGAAATTCGTTTGGGGCACGTAAAGCAGCCACTGTCTCCTGGGGACAAGCTTTCCACCATTTTCCTAACAGGAAGGTCACAATAACAGCATGGCAGGTGGTGGAGTTCTTGTTATGCTGTTGATCTAGTATGATCAGAAAATGTAGTTGTGTTTGAAAACTACTTTGTTCAAGGATATATTGTACCACACGGGGAATATAGCCAATATTTTACACTAATATGAATGGAGTATAACTTTAAAAATATTAGGAACAGTTTTTCACAGATGAATTCTATTTATATACTAATAGATTTGAATATTTTTTTTTGCATTACTCGGGCCTGTCACTGTTGTGGCCTCTCCCGTTGCGGAGCACAGGCTCCGGACGCGCAGGCTCAGCGGCCATGGCTCACGGGCCCAGCCGCTCCGCGGCACGTGGGATCTTCCCGGACCGGGGCATGAACCCGCGTCCCCTGCATCGGCAGGCGGACTCTCAGCCACTGCACCACCAGGGAAGCCCAGATTTGATTTTTTAAGTAAATAAAAATCAGTTACGTTAGAATATGGGTTTGCTTTTTAGGACTTAAAGGTACAAGTTTTGTCTAAAGCAATTGTTGAATATATTTTAAAAATACAGATGTTTCTGGTTTTTCTTTTAACTCCTCTTCCTTATTCAGATTGGAATAAAGCGATATGTGTGGGTGAGAAAAAAAAGAAAATTACTTTGTTTACATATTTAAATATTCTTTACCATAGATCAGATGTTCTTAGTTTTTAAATATATATTAGTATATATTTAGGCTCTTTAAAGGAAACTCAAATCTTGGACAAGTTACCTCTGAATTAATAAGCCTGCCATCAATTGAGAGAGGGTTGTTGGGAGTGGAAGCTGTGCATTTCAGGTGGTTGTTTTAATTTGGTCTTTTGTATCTGTTTTTATTTTACTCATATATTTATTGCCAGCATCCGTAGCCCCTGCCATCTGGGAGGCCCTGCTCCTTAATTTCCAGCTTGGATGGCAGTAAAAGATGACAGCTTTGGTGGAAAGCACTAATCGTAAAAGATAAGGCACTTGGGAAATTTCTCCCTTTCCCACTGCTGGCTGCGTCCCAGGGCAGGCAGATCCCATCAGGGATTTCAAGGGTTGGAGGTTGTGTTCCCAGATAAGACCCAGCCATCAGCTCTGAGCAGTTACAGGAATGAGTGGAATTTAACCATTTTATTTATTACCGGGGGATTTCAAATAACTTTGCTCCAGGTTTACTAAATTTCCAAAATGTTCTCTAGGTCAGACCGAATGGGAACTTTTTATCTCAGGATTTCTGATTGGTTACCAATTCCGCAAATTCCTATGTGACCTTCCTTAATTTTTCCCAGGCTCTTTGTTATAAAGAATGATTCACTGACTGCATGTCTATTTAAAGGGAGTGTTGGGCTACAGCATTAAACTCTAATCACAATTCATAAAGTCTTTAAAAAGCTATTATTGCTGCAAAATGACAAGGAGTTGAAGAACCCCACCAGTACAAGCCGCTGGTTGAAGAATGTGATTCGAGGTGGACAAACAGCTTTCATTTAAATGCTTCTGCAGATTCTTTTCCTCTTTCCCAGGCCTTTACCCATAATTGAAGCACAAATGTTTATTTTTAAAGCTTTAGAGCGATTTGGTTGGCTTTTTTAGACTGTATTTTTGCAGCCCTTTGGAATCTGTCATATCAGATATTAGAATACTAATGTCATTACCAGGAAGTCCGACTTGATGCTGTTTTATGCCTCCAGAGCCAGCGAGAACAAGTCTCTCTCTCTCTCTTTTTTTTTTAAATTGAAGTATAGTTGCTTACAATGTTGTGTTAATTTATAGCACAAGCATCTCTTGATAAAGAGGCTTAAAGAAGCCCTATGCTAGTTTTTCAGACCCAGAACCACATGCCTCTAGAGAAGTGTCTGCACAGGGTCCTAGTCTGAGGCGGGGAACTCTTCTGCTGTCACTTGGGATCAACTAGGAACAAAAATTGTGATTAGATAGAATTTTTTCTGCTCTCCATGCCCAGGGAGCAAACTCAGCAGAGAATCAAATCAGAAGGTAGATTTTCATCAAGAAGTCAAATCCCAAATGGCCTTTCTACTTTTCTCAATTTGGTTTTTATTTTTTATACAGCAGGTTCTTATTAATTATCTATTTTATACATATTAGTGTATACACGTCAATCCCAATCTCCCAACTCATCCCACCACCACCCCACCACCCCCTGCACCCTGCTTTCCCCCCTTGGTGTCCATACGTTTGTTCTCTACATCTGTTTCTCTATTTCTGCCTTACAAACCAGTTCATCTGTACCATTTTTCTAGGTTCCACATACATGCGTTAATATACGATATTTGCTTTTCTCTTTCTGACTTACTTCACTCTGTATGACAGTCTCTAGGTCCATCCATGTCTCTAAAAAGGATCCAATTTCATTCCTTTTCATGGCTGAGTAATACTCCGTTGTGTATATGTACCACATCTTCTTTATCCATTCGTCTGTTGATGGGCATTTAGGTTGCTTCCATGTCCTGGCTATTGTAAATAGTGCTGCAGTGAACATTGGGGTGCATGTGTCTTTCTGAATTACTGTTTTCTCTGGGTATATGTCCAGTAGTGGGATTGCTGGGTCGTATGGTAGTTCTATTTTTAGTTTTTTAAGGAACCTCCATACTGTTCTCCATAGTAGCTGTATCAGTTTACATTCCCACCCACAGTGCAAGAGGGCCCCCCCGCTTTTCTCCACATCCTCTTTAATTTGGTGTTCTTATGCACAAGGACACAGGGAACGTGTGGAGACCATTCTCCCAAGTGACTAATGATTTGTGATTGACCTGAGGATTTTCATCTAAGAGAACCCATCCATTCCCAAGGAATTAGAATTGTGTGGTTTTTTTGAAAGAATAACTTCTATTTTCCCTTCTCCCAGAAAATATTTTAGGCAGGTTTCAATAAAATGTGCATTCACAATAAGGTGGTTAAAATAGAAAATCAGAAAGTATATAAATGGAGAGATTTAAAATAGTTAATGTAACTGAACATTAAGTTTAGTTCTGGGCTTGCTGGCCGTTTACAGAAAGAGGAAACACCATGGGTTACGTTGTTTTCAGATTCTGATGAAAGGGAGAATGTCACTGTTTCAGAAGATACTTGCTTTTCCCGTTACTAAATTTTAAGAGGGCTGTATCCAATGGGCCCTTATATGCTTTACAGAAAAGGCCAAAAAAAAAAAGACTTTTTTCAACCCCAAACAACATTTGGGAGTGCAATACTGAAAATACACCCAAAGAAAGTAAAACACTGCCAGTGGTCCGTGTGTTCTTAAAATCATGTCAAGGCACCAGGCAGCATATTTTCTAGATTTCAATTTCCTACAAGATATAACATCCCTAATATCACTTTCTAAATGTGTATGTGTTGGTTTTCATTTGCTATGAATAAAAGATGACAAAAATAATGGCATTCTTTCTGAATTGGTATATTTTAGAAACTCTTAGAAGACTAAGAATTCTAGGATAAAGGTATACAAATGTAATTATGACAGCATATCATAAAACAGGAGTCTCCCAGTTGTTCACTGAATATGGGAATACGTTGTCTCTTGTATTATTATAGCTTGTCACTGGAACTATTTTTTGTTTGGTCTCCTTTGCTCTCAGGAATGTAATGAAAATCATTATCTGGGATTTGTTGACATAAGAAAGGGAAGTGCTAAATTTATGAGTGGGCAGAGGAGGGTGGTGACCTCAGCAGGACTCCACGACATAGGAGAACCATCATTCCTGTCCATCAGGGATGCACGCTATCTAGGGATCGAGATTGCTTCCAGTGGGGCTCAAGTCCTGGGGGCAAAAATGACTGGGCCCTCCAAAGTTAACTAAATTGGCACCGTGGGAGAA